CCTTTACTCACTCCAGAGAGGGGATTGATGACAGACCAAAATAAGGACACCACCAAAGTCCAATGTGGCAAAACAGCAAGTTATATTGGGGTTACTTACAAGAATATGGGTGAAAGGTTACTTACAGGAGCAGAAATTACTCAGAGACAGCTTTATCACAAAGAGCCCATCTCAGCATGGGTGACACCTTTTGAAAGCAGGAAACCTGGTTGGAATGCACTGTACAGCCTGCAGGCAGCTCAACAGGTTGGAGAGACTTCCAGGCAGCTTGGCTGATCTCTACCTCTTTAGACAGTGCAGCTGGTCTCTGCCTCTTACAGTGTCTTGTAACAGTCCTTAGGGCTTACATATGCTTGAGGAGAGAGGGTCCTAGAGAATCAAGTCAGTTTCACGGACTTCCCGAAGCTATTGAGTTTTTTACTTTCTGAGTTTAAGGAGTTTCCCTGAAGGATGGAATGTTTCATCTTCCCTCAGAGCATCCTGTGTCTTAACCTGCTTCCTTTCAATTGGTTGGTGTGATAGCAGAGAAAATTGCTAGGTAACCCTCCACCCAAGCCAGAGATTCTTTTCGTTGACCAGAATGAGTTTTTCCTTAATAGGCCTTTATTGCTATCCTAACAATTGTTCCCCAGTTCTGGAGAAGCAGGTTATTTGTCAATTTCCTCATGTGTGGACCAGTGACCAGTAGTTTTAGCATCACTTGGGAAGGTCTTAGACATCAACATCCTTGGATCCACCCTAGATGGACTGAGGCAGCATATGTGTTCTAACAAGATTTCCAGATGATGGGCATTCACTACAAATTGTGAGGGATGCTGTCAAAGTCTGGATGCAAAGAGAGAGCCCCTTCCCTCCAGCCCTGATGCTGATGTCCTTCACTCGAGAGTACCTTGATTTTTTTTTTTTTCCATAGGATTGTGAAAGAAGAGGAAGTTCAACAGAGGTAATGCCCCCATCCAGGACCAGAACCCACAGGCTCTTAGGGTAGCTAGCTGCTGTGTGTGATGCAGTGAAATGAAAACGACAGCCCAAAGGTCATCAAAATCCCCACCAGGCATCCTTAACCCAACAAGAAGTTCTTTCTGTTCCAGTTCTGTATGTCCTCCACCCCCACCCCAGCAGTCTTCGCCCACACTCGTTGCTTTGACAACTTCCCAAATGTCAACTAGTGCATGGAAGCCCTTTGCCCTGAACAGTCAGAGAGGAACAAAGAGATCCCAGGAGAGTTTGGTATCAGAAAAAACTCCTGATGTTCCTGGGGAGGTGGCTGTGCTGCTGCAACCCCAACGTTGTACCGGAAAAGGGGGGAGGGAGTATCCACAGACCTGAATTATATGGCTCTGCATGCAGAAAGATGCATTCTGTTAAGGGAAAAATATCAAACCGAATGTGTCTAGTTCTCAGCAGTGATAGCAGGAGAAAAACCTTGGGAAGGCACAAAAGGCTGTGGAAACGATTCAAAGAGAATAAAGAATCTTCGGGACAAATTGGCCCATTCTTTTTTGCCGCCAGACCCTGTATTCCCTGGAGAGTATTGAAACAATACCAGCGCCTGGCTCTCATGATGGAACTGGAAAACATCCTACCTTTTTTAATGACTTGGTGAAGTTGTTGTCTCAACAGGAAATTCTAGCCATTGTCACACATTCTTCTTGTTTATTAATAGTAATAATAGCTCTTTGCATCACCGTCGCCTGCAGACCTTTACAAAGCTTTTCCACACAAAGTGGGGTTTTCCTGACAACACTTCGAGTCAAGCAGGGTGAGCAATCATGGATGTGCCCATTTCATATG